AGAATAAAAATATAGGTCATAGGTTTTAATTTCTAAAAAAAAAAAAAAAAAAAAAAAACTATTGCAAAAATCTTAACGGGTCGAGAATACGCGGGCGCGATAAATAACTGCGACGGCGCTGCAGTTCACGATATAATTATATTATTCGTATGGTACATCAAAAAAAAAAAAAAATAATAATAATAAAATAAAATAAACAATAATAATGATAATAATGAAAAAACAAATAACATATAAAAAAAAAAAAAAACGGGTAATAATTTTAGCATACAGTCTATATAATATACTGTTACAGTCGCAACCGTATAATAAATGATATTAAATAATATTTTCCATAATAATAATATTACGTTTCGGAATAAAGATTCGAGATAGGTACAATAATAATTATAATTATTTTTCACACGCATTTCTCCGTTTTAATAAATTAACATTCCGCAATTTCCGCACGATATTATTAATATAATTAATTCTCCGGAGAAGTCGGTACAATTTTAATTAACTCGGTTATTATTATTATTATTATTATTTTTTTTTTTAACATAAAAGCGCATAACAACATATTTTATTGTCGATGTATCGCAATTTATGGAATTATAAACATTGCATTGTGTTACCGTTTGATTGTTTGAAAATTAATAATATTCGAGAGCACCTATCTTATATATATAATAAATTACTACTGAATATATACCTACCCGTGATGATGTTATTATTTTTAATAACTATAAATTATACTAAAGAAATATATTGTAAAAAAAAAAAAACCGAAACGAAACGAACGGTTTAAAGAAAAAAAAAATGATTAAACGATTTTAAATTCGGAGTGTGGCGAATAATCTACCTATAGTAGTTTTACGATGAGATGTATTGTTTCTCTCAGAAAACAATTTTTCAGTCGGTGAACATGCTCCGGTATTTTCACGGTATACCGCAGGATATGAAGAAATTCCGATATGTGGTACTTTATTTGAACCATTTGTCGACATTCCCCGTTGTGTCCATTTTTAGTTTTGTGTTGACTCCTCGGTTAATGTGGAATATAATATTTATACAATTCCACTCAGAAACGTTTTTCGTTTACAACGACTTGTCGTTTCGTACAGTATACCAACTAAATTACCTTTCCACCTACCCGTGGATCTTATTTGATTCCTGTTGTTATACCGGAATAGTTGTGTTATTAAAATTTATTCACGTTCTAGAATTGTACACATTTTAAGAATTTCTAATATAAAAATAATACGATATTATGATAATTTATCATTCGTCTTATTTCATATTATAATATTACACGTGCACGCATTTTTCCGAAGAATTAAGTATTGGCAGAAAAACTAATATGATGGCATTAATGTTACGGCTGTGGCGTAGGATAAACATGTCTTACATGATGTTAACTATGTATTGTATTTATGCGTATAATAGATAAAACGACTACGATAATCAATCGGTTTTCTCAATTCGGCTTGATAGTATTAATAGAAAAAAAAAGCAATACCTAATATTTTTAGGCGTTTTACCGATGGGAAATTTGATTTTTTTTTTTAAAATTCCAAATACAGTGAGTAATATCTATTGGTTTCGGAATAATTTGAGTTGAATATTGTATTATTGTATTATAAACCATAATATTGTAACTATTATTAGAGTGTTATAAAAACTGTTTCAAACGAACATTTTCAATTTAGTCATCATCCGTACTAGCCGTTTCACTAAAGTTCATTGAAAAATGTTTTATCGATTTACTGAGAAAATCAAAAAATTATCCGTCTGTCGTAGTAAAATGTCGTCCGGGTCGACGGATATCATTCTTAAACCGTATATTATATATACTTGATCCATATATTAACTACTCCAAAAAGTTTTTTTTCGAGGAACAAAAAACACGTCGTTGTAAAACTAATACATTCCTCGCGCTCTGTTTGGAATTCAAAATATACGAATTGAATTGAATTAAACTCTACAGCTGCGCAGTTCTATCGGGTTTTCGTTTTTTTTGTTTTTAACATAACATGAAACGACAACGCATTTCGCTCTTCCGAATGCTCGTATTATGGAAATCTAAATAAGACGTTTTGACAAACAGATTTTTGAAAGAATTCCAAATCCCGAACTATCGGGGTCGGACAGTATATTCGATATAAAAATTCGAAATACGTATCTGCGATACGATTATTGTAACTTGTATTTTAGTCAATGAAATAGTATTGGAATGTATCGATGTATATCGTATCCAGATACTGAAAATCAATAATTTTACATTATTAGCCTGCCCTGCATTATTGTATACGTGCCTACCTATAATAATATGTTCCATTAATTAAAGTTCACGATCGCGGGTGCAAAAAAAAATCGAATGAGTTCAATTTTGCATCATAACGGGTAAAATCGTTAAAAAAAAAAAACCCGATAATCTAATTGGATTATAAAATATATTATCCTCAAATAATATATGTATACATGTAATAATAACAGAGTCGTAATTCGAAACAATTTTTAAAATTGACTTTATTGCGTATATTTTACGACACAAGATATATGAATAGGAAAAAAAGAAAAAAGAGTATATCGATATTAATATTTGCTTCTACGAGCATTATATTATTTTTCCATATTGAATTCTGAAACGCCGACTTGAAATAGACGCACACGTAAAATATTAAGGGATCTTTAAATGTCGTTTTCTTTAATTTATTCAGTGCTATTGTTTTGTTTTTTTTTTTTTTTAACGACGTACATACTGGTAAACACACTCGTATAAAATGTATTATTTTTATTTACGAATATTGAACAATTTTCTGATAATCGGCTCGATAAAACTTACCAATGTCAAACATTATTATTATTTTGTTTAAAATAATAATATGACCTTGTTGCACTATAGTAAAAAATCGGTTTAACCAATGACAGCAGAATATTATAATTTATAATTACTCCATAAATCGAAATTTTAAATCTCGTTTCATATTTTCTACTTTTTTGATTATTATTATTATTTTTATTATTTTTTGATAATTTATGCGTCAAAAGTTGCAGTCAAATATTAAATCGATTGAAAACCCAAAACAACAAAAAAACAAAAATATGAATAAATATGATGTTACTATATACTTAATGTGATTTTTTTTTATTATTTTAAACGTATGGATTACAATTTAACTATGAACATATTGTTGGGGTTTCTTTTCAATTTGTTCAACACGATGTTTAAAGGTCTCAAATAAACTTAAGATCACTTCAATCAATTTTAAAAGTACCGTCTTTAATTAAAATTAATATTTAAACACCCAAGAGCATAGTTAGTCCGCCAATAGAGTCGAATTGTCCACCATTATTTTTGTATTATTGACTTGTACTTTGTAAAACATTCAATGACCGAATAGTGTTTTAATACGGTACTATATTAGACAAGAAATTTACTGTAGTTTCGAAATACTGAAGAAATTCGAACATCAGAATTCGGAACTTCAAAAAAGTATATAATTGATAATACTACGAACGCCATGCATTTAATATAAAACGTGATCTCCCCTATCAACTTAATAGGGATTCTTTATAGGGATGTTATAAAATAAAAAAAATAGATAAAAATCCCACTACTTCTGTTATGACTCGATGAAATTTAACTAGTATTATTTCTATAATTCACCTTTAAAATAATTCTAATAACCGAATTCAAGCACATTTGGTCAAGATGGAGCCACTTAAAGTGTACTTAAACGTAACGGGAAATAGATACGTAATATTCGATTAACGAAGATTCGACATGCCGACAATTTTTTGGTATTCAAAAAAAATTGATAAAAAGATTACCTTGAAGTGATAATATTTGCACGTACAGCTGTACCGACGCATCCGTGACGGTTATTGACCGCCGGTGATTTCGTCGATCGAAAATTGTCCTGTGAAAATTTACCGGAAGGTGGTGAGAGCAGGGGGTTAAATACCGCGAGGCGGTCGAATTTCGCGTTTAAACAGCGGCGGGAAAACGAATTTCCAAGACGTATAATTATAATATAATTATATTATTATTACATGCGTAACAACGATCGTCGAGGACCTTTCGAATTTATTAATTAACTTATGGGCGTGGGGAAAACGCGAAAAAACCGTGGAGAGAAGTGTCTCGTACTGCGTATACGGACACGAGTGCCCGGAGCCGAGAACGTGTACCTACTCGGGTACTTTGACGGCCGTGGCAGTGGCGTAGTCGTAGTTTTGAAAACGTATTGTTACGATAATAATAATAATAATAATAATAATATAATGTGTGACCGGGCTTCAGGTGCTGCGGGCGCACAATAGAAAAGCAACAATTCGGAAAATAACACCACGGGCACGTGCGTAATAACACGGTGGAAAAACGGCGACAATGACGACGACGACGACGACGACGACGAATCGCAATAGTATACTAATTCGCGTATATTATTATCGTAATAATATACACAGCGGCGACCATTATTATAATACCATTGCGGTGTTACGCGCCGGACGAAAATCTGTACGCGAGTGTCGTCGAGTGCACGCGAAACGAGAGGTTTTGCGAGAAGAACCGTCGCGGACGCGAAACTATTGTACGGGACGGCGGTAAAGAAATTACTTAATCAACTCGGGCGCCTACGTTATGTATTATTATAATATATTATGTGAGTACAACGATAATGGGGGGAGGGGGGAGGGAAACGAAAGTACACCAAGAATAACTACACCGCCTAAGGTCAATAACCGTGCGCGAAAACTGTTTGCAAAATAGTTATCCTGCAGTTGATTTTTCGGTACCTATGGACGGTGTAGAGTGGCCACAATACGATAAGACCACTGGAATCGCAGTAAATTATAACAAAACGTGTCGATGTACAAACTATTCGACTGGTTCAATAGTAGACGATTTTTAATTGTTAACGGTGCGTTACCCGCTTATACAATACAATATTTGAATTATATTTATAATCGAAAATTACGAATTATGGACTGTTGTGGAAAACGTAATCAACAAAAAAAAAAAATAATAATAATAAAGCTTACGGCGCGAAAATCAGTGATTTCAGTAACTACTTGAGTTAAAATTCAAGGATTATCTATGCCCGTAATTAACTCGATATTTAGTTTTCTATCAAAAATGCATATTATCTAAGACGGGAGATTTTGAAATAACTTATTTCGAAAAATTTATATCTATTAAAAAGTGGCAATTTTGATAATTTGAAAGCAGTAATTTTTTTTCCGATGATTAAGAGGTGAAAATTAAATTTTTATTTTTCTCTCATATGTGTCTCCACAAGATGCGATTAAAAAAAAAAAACCCTACAAATATTATAATCGAAAAAACACGATGAAACACTCTGTATGTACTCAGTACGTTTTTGTCGGCCAATTTTGATTCCTGAGGGTTACCGTCATCGTAAGTACCCATTGTGTAATTAATTTTGCTTGACAAACACGAAAAAGACTGTGATATGCCAGATTACGAACAATATTGTTGTACCGTTAGTCAGCCGTCCAATATGGAAACATTGTCGTATTCTTATAGATGAGGTGGGAAAAACATATATAGACACGTTTTTTTATTCTAACCGTTTTTATTAAACACGTGGAAAATGCTTTGGTTTTACGCTTTCCAACGGATATAGTATAATTATCATACGGCGATCCTGTAACCCAGAGGTGATAGCTACAGGGCGTAACAGGACTATTTGACATAGTCCTTGACTATTGGAAAATTAGACTAATTTACATTGTAGTTAAATGTAAAATCGTCAAAAAGGGGATAGAGGCCAAGCGCTTAAGTCGCCAAAATTGTGATTTGTATTACTTGAACGTGTGATGTTCGCTACATTATATAAATCTCTATGAATTCCATCTGTGGACGATTCAATATAAATTTATCCCGAGAAATGATCTACTGAGTAGCTAGGCTGCAAAATTTAGACTTGACCCGGCGTACTCAAGCCCAAAGCTTCGCCACCGTTGCAACCGCGTATTGACCTTTTGGGGAAAAAACCCGTGCGTTTGTATCGATTTGTTCGTATAAAAACCGGCTTGCACTGCATGCGACTACCGCCGGGATGTCGTGAAAATTGTATACGTTTCATAACCTGTTGTTTTCTTTTCTAAATCAGAATACAAAATATGTTACGACTGATGAAAATATCAAACCGGCTGCTGTTAAATTAATAATACGACCATAACAAGGCTACATCGTATTTATCATAAATAATGACTTAGCGCTGCCGAACAATCGCGGCTTCGAGCGCTGAAATCACTGTAATATTTCAAAGGGATAAACACTCGAACCGAATGCCGTACAACTATAATAATACGGGTACCTACTGCTAACTCGTCCGGATATTATTTAATTGACATTTTATTCCACCTAGGTCACCTCTAATTTTAGGGATCCGCGGGAGCAAATTCACACAGTAGGTATTGTATTAATAATAATTGATATAATTGACCGCCCGTACGGCGTTTAAGGAAACGTTTCACCTCACTTATTCCAGAGGGATTTAACACGATTCAAATACACGCACAAAGACGGTAATTCATGGCCACCCGCAGAAATATTTGTCGAAGGGGGCTACAAAACATTTTATCCATTACCATTGAATCTGTTTCGTTCTGTCACGGAATACGAATTTTAAATTTCAAATTATGATTTGTGATATTTTTAAAATAAAAAAAAAAATGTAATGCTTTCTTATACAGTAGTGACATCGTTACATTTACTATTTATTTAAATACAACACGTGTCAACAAATGTTAATTTAAGCAATGTATAAAATGTTTAATCGAATTATAATTTTCATCATGCATCGTTACATAAAAATTGCATACGTCTAGGTTTCATACGAAATAGTTTTATTGTTCCTTCCACGATTGTGGTTTATCAACAGTATAGCTTCATCATTTACATATAGGTGGTTCAGTTTCTCGTTACCTCGATGTAGATAGAACTAGAAGACTTTCAATTCTCTGTGCTAATATTTTTCGTGTTCGGGTCTTATTATTTTTCGGATAATTGCCCCCCCCCCCCGACCCGTGCTGTGCAATATAATTTATGTGTTTGTGAACTATCCTGTTCCCGCCCTAAGATGAACGTTCAAATGTTCAAACTGTTATCATTGTCGATTTACGTAGGTTAGACAGAAGAAGATTCTACGGTTTATTCACAAATCACGATTATTAATAACTACATACCTTCTCATCGGAAATTCCTGTGCCCGCCACAATCCGTATGATGCATCTAACTACACGTCCGTCATATTTTTCTCCTTATCCGTTCGACAACTGCTCGCCAAATATGGAGTCTCGGTCTATACGTGTAATAATAATTGGCTAAAAACATCACGCTTGTCGTCGTCACTCCACACAGTAAAGTAAACCTATCGCAAACTTTATTGTAGGCACCTGATGATAATTGACTTGGACGTACGTGTGACAAACGATCATTGGAGTTGACGAGTATAATGTATAGGATATATTTCTCTAAAATCTAAAGTAAAATATTTTATGTTCGATTTCCAATCGATATATGTTCACGTAGAAGTGCAAGCCATATAATATACTTTTGAATTAATTTTACAGTTCAAAAAATGTTATCTCAAAGTTTTCCCACAGAAATAAAAAAAAATTCACGCTTCACGCGGTATAAAACTTATAGCTTTTTCACTCAACTCGTATATAATCTAAAATGCGAACAAATATATACCAAAATAAAATAAAAGTTTTTTTTTAAATCTAACATATCAGAAACCAACCCTTATATTTTCTGTATTTATACTTTTACCCGTATATAATTTTATTTTTTAAATTCAAAATACATATACAAGTCATTATACTTTAGTGTATACATATATTCCATTCATATTTTTTTCAAACTTTTCATACCTATTATATACATACATTATGTATGTTATATACTTACTTTTTCCCGAGAATATTGGAAATATTAAAAAATAATTCAGAGACGGTATAATGTACGCATTAAAATTAACGTTTACTTAAATACACGGATACACGTGTAATTATTAAACTCGTATATTGATCCATGTATTTGATAATACACGTGTATTCAAAAATATCCGCAATTTTGACATTGACCGTAGCGCGATCACGTCTAGTGACGTAGATTATTAATTTTCTGATTTAAGATTTTTGCAAATGTGAATAATATTGTGGTTATAATTTATTACAGCATTTAATCAGTTACTGTCCGTTTTGATGTCGTTTCCGTTAGCCATTTACAATTCGTTGGCGGGATTAGGTCGTACACAACAGGGCCTAAAATACTGTGCTCCCCGAAAATCATAATGTTTCTTCTGAATTATAAATTGTGTCTCAAGTTTTATAACGTGTTTTTAGTTTTAATTGTAGACATAACAAATAATTTTGAATTTCAGCACAAATAAATCTTGTTTATCTCAATATAAATTAATAGCAACTTTCTCGTTATCAATATCATAAACTTTAACCATGGTCGACGATTATAAATATAATACGTAGTAGGATCAAAAATTTCCCGGAACTCTTGAATTGCGCGCCAATAGAGCTTCTAAGAATTTTTTTTTTTTTTGAGGGGTTAGGGGTGTTGGTTGGAGAAGATTTTGCTTTCATTTTCATGATAATAATTATTATTACGATAAATTATTAAAATGTTTATGCTGTCATTTACCATACCAAAAAGTTCCTGATTAACCTGAACTTATACCTTCCTTCACATTTTCGAGAAAAATATTCATTTGGCAAATGTGCAGCAAGTTTTTGGTAAAAGTCATATGAAATGCTGCATTCCTCTACTAAACAATATTCTGTCATTAAAATGGAAGGGAAAATCCTCCTGACCCCTCCCTCCCACTCCCCCTTCAAAAAAAGCTCCTCTTTTGGATTTATTACAAAATTGCCAAATAAACGTATCTTGTTGACTGAAAATTGGTTGGCTTCAAATTATGGACTAATTTTAAATGTCAACCTAATGATCCCGCAGTTCTACCAGTACATGCAAATTCGTTGATGTCATCTTAATGACACATATTAGAATATCCTTTGTCTCCAATACGTTTGGCATACTGTCATACCCAATATTTTTAATTTTGACATTTTAGAACTAGAAAGACGTTGAGTTTGAGAGATAGCGGAAAACGTATAATAAGCTATCGTTTAATTTGGAGTATGTAATAAACTTAGAGTTTATCAATTATTATATTTGTCGATTAAACATATTCCTGTTAATTTATTTATTAGTGCTCGACTATTGACGTAATCTGTAGTAAGGGCAACGCCGAGTGGGACAGTTATAAACAATAGTATAATACAATATTATTTTTTTTTGTTTTGGTCTGTAAACACTCACGCAATGGTCAATGTCAAAAACGCGGGTATTATTACATACACGGTTAGTATTAAATTAATATACATGTAGTTATGAATACACGGTTTAATACACGTGTAATTAAATACAGGTCTACCCGTATACCCGTGTATTTTAAATACCTGTAAAAAATCGTAAGCCTTAATTAAAACGTAATATTATAATACATTTTAGAAAAAAAAATTGTTGTTTAATCGTCTCAAATAATTCCAATAATAATATTATAATAATTATATTGAACCTATGCAGTATTACTGATCACTGCGACCCGTAAAAAAATATTGGAAATTTTGTTAAAATATAAAATGATATAACCTGTTAACCATAGACTTAGAAGTATAGACCACGAATTTTAACACCCTCTCGCTTTTTATACAAAAACTAGACATTAACTAAATGACGGGGAGAGGATAGACATATCGGTAGGACCTATCGCGGAAGAGAGTTTATATTATTTTTTTTTGTTTCGTGGGTATAAAAACATGCTATCAAATACTGTACACAAAATTATGATAATTTATGATAATATAATTTAAAATTAAAATTTATAGTTGTACGTATCGCAGTGTAAAAAAAAATTTGGTTCTTTATTATTTTTTCCCATGATTAGTTATTCTACTACTTTTATCCCAATTGCAAAACATTGTTTTTTCAATACACATGGTGATTTATTTTTTTATCGTGATCCAGCGATTGTGATTTTTACGGACGACTTTATGTAAATTTGATTTCTGTGATTTTTTTTTCTACCGATTTTTGGCGATTACTCAAGCTTTATTTGCACACCATTTTCAAATTCTCACCGACATGATATTTTACTTTAAATGAGTATTAACTTTTGATTTTCAAATGACAGCCCTACATTTTCCACACAGATTCAAAAACAAAATATTCTTATAAACATTTTGGCGCGCTTAACATTTCGCGACATTTTTGTAATTATGGCATAATGCATACAACAATGTTATCATTACGTTAATATGAAATACCTGTATTGTTTATGATTTATAATGATGACGGTTACAAATTTAGATCGGAGAAGCCATGAAGGGTCATAATTTAATATCCATGTTTGGATTAAAATAGCCCTTCATCTGCTCTAAAATATGTTAAACTGTTATAAATCATAAATGGCAAGTCCAATATTATAGTATTGTGCGTATAAAAATAATTAGAACCATATAGTATTTTTTCGAATCCGATTTAAAAATTGGGTGGTTGGCGGTTATTGTAAATCAAAACTTGACAGTGTTTATATCTATAATGTATACCGAACAACGGTAAAATTTAAAGATAATATAAATAAGATATTTAGTAGTTACCATCGTAATAATATATTATACAAATGTCATTTAAAATTCCGCATATACGCACGAGTAAGTTCATATGGTATACTTAATAATTGTTTTCGAACTTTTTAAAAGTTAAAATACACAATATTAATATAATACTGTAAAATATCGATTTGTTTGTTTTAGGGATCTCGTGAGCGTTTTTATATACACGTAATGAAAAAATAAAACTAATAAGCTAGGTATGCGCGAAACGATATTCAAAATTATTTAAATGGAGTAAGATGTATTATATTTTTTTTTTTTTTTGTTTTTCTTACTGTTACCAGGATTAATTTATTTATTTAATATGCAAATCAAAACCTGTATAATTTGTTGGGTTGTTTGTTTGCAAAACCTTAAACAATACGAAATTACTCAATTTTAACTATCATTATTCAGAAAAGGGTCACGGCGCGGCGGCGACAACAATACACATAGTTATATTCGCATTTCAACACTGTAAACACTACGACTATACCTGCTGTGGCAGTCTGATATTATAATAATATTTTATCGTAAAACCCAGGAAATAAATAATGTAAAATTTCAAGTCAAGGAATTGAAATATTATCTTTAGCCGTGCGGTCGTGCAATCAGAGTTTCCATTTGTATATCTGCACGGTAACGCGTGAAAAAATAAAAAAAATTGTTACCGGGAAATATACAATCTATTTTAACCCTCCGACGACGTTAAAAGCGCATAATTTTTCATTTTCATATTCACACACACACACACACACACACACACACACACATATAAAAATAAAAAAATATATAATAATATTACATTTCTTTACTTTTAGACCGAACAATTCGAGATGTTTTGTGTTTTTGACACATACGCGAGTATTAATAACTGAATATCTGTATTGAAATAGGTAGGGGGAAACTTGAATAAGTTGACTAGCCAAGTATGATGACGAATTGATAATAACTAGGAGTAGATTAAACCGGATCACGTTGTTTTCCAAGAAACCAATAGAATAGTAAATATTAAGAACTACTATTTTACTGATTGTATTATTGTTTCTGATAAAGTACATACTACGATTTTGTTTACGAGTCTCTGTTATCGCCATACGCAATTTAATGTACCTATGCAATATGAAATAGAACAAATTTATTTGACCGATTAGATGGATTGTTTGATTTTAACAGCATACTATGAAAAGTATTTTAATTTTGTTTTTACATAAATAATGAAAAAGTATACAGTAAATTACTTATTTTTATCCAGTCAAATGTCAAATTTCCCCTGGCGTATTATGGAAAAAATTACGAATTTTAGATTTGTTTTAGTAAAATGTGTCTTTAACAGGTTAAAAAAATAATTTGTGTTTGTAGCAAACTTAAAAAGTTGTAAATCAGTGTATACTTATATACACTGATATAAAATAATAATAATTATAAGGTATAAGACGTTTATATTTGGCGTGTTTTCTCTTGGGCTTGCTCCCTGCCTTGACTCTGGAAATGTCTGGCTACACCACTGATTTTAAATACCATAAGCGCTTGCGTGGATGTTCGGCTAATTGGATTATATCTATTGACCGGGATCAGTTACCATCAAAATTAATCTTTTTCATTTCCACAAATATCGTTTCCATCAAACGTTTCACCATTGGTGAATTTTTACCGTTACGATTTCTATACCGTTATTATAGGAAAACCGCATCCCTTTCGGCTATAGGACGTATAGGACATTCACTGATTCATGTTTAACACGATTAACGTATGTGTGTATATTTACGATTTGGGTCTTGTTCCATAAAAGATTGGTAGGCTATAAAATACTCGTTTGTTCGATGTATGCCTCTAAAGCTTAGATTGTATGGTAATTAAAAAGAAAAAAACAAACTAGTGCGTCATGATGATGGGGTCTGTGCAACGGGCGGGCGGTCAGATTAAATTTAGTTATGATATCTGACCTAGAAGTCTGCCAGCGTCTATAGTATAGTATAATAATTGATACAATTAGTATACGCCAGTTATAGGTAACGTTATTTTTGAAAATCGTATTTTTATGTATATTATAAATCTAAAAAAAAAAAAAAACAATAAATCGTTGATTTTGAGACGGTTATCGTTATAAATCATTATGTAATATCCACGCATGCACCCACACACTATATAATATAATAATATATCATCATTATCGTCATTACCATCATTGTCGTCGTATTATTATGAATGCTTTTTTTTTCTATTTTTTTTTTTTTTTTTTTTTTTAAATATATGTTTATACCCTCTGTTCCTTTTTTAAATATTAAATCGAAATATACGTTCCGAGCGGTGGCGTAGCGTCGCACGTTGGGGTTGCAAATTGAACGTTTTATATTTTTTTGATAATTACGTGTGGGCGCACACATCACACAACACACACAATAACTTATATATTATTATTATAATATAAATATTAAATGCAGTTACGTTTTTAGCGTATAATATTTTCGAACGATATTGGGCGGATATTGGCCCGCCAACGTATTTTTTTTTTTATTCTAACCATCGTGATATCGTGCAAACGAATTATTATTGAAACTTCGGTGGCGTGTAATATGCGTACTCTATATTATTATACACATTTTTATGACGTGTATAATATTGTTTACGCGTAGGTGTACGTCGGTATACCTTAACCCGTCTCTTAGTGTACGAAATGATATCTAAACTAGGGAAACTCAGCTGCGTTTATACACTGTTTTCGTAGCGTTCGGTGGATTTGACTGAATTTAGCGGACCACGCTCAACAATAATTGTTATGGCAAGTAACCTAACTTATAAATTTTACACTGTCAAAATACTAACATTATAAACAGTTTGCCGTTTATTCCACGGCCGCTGTTTTCAGCGTGGATACAGCGAAGATAAACGAGAGTTTTCTTACTGTATTATTATTATTTACATTGTGCACGTGCTGTTCTACAGTTATGTGATTCAATATTCGAAAATGTCATTGGATCTGTGCGATTTATATAGCTTTTATATTTAATTTGTTTAGTTTGTAACTTATTTAGTTGTTTATAGTATTTTATCAAGTTCGAATAATATGTAACAATTATCAATTCACAATGTTTCGGAACTTTCGTTTTGACATTTTCAATTTTTTAGAAACTTTTTCAATATTTAAAATTTTTTTATATTTATTATTAAAATTTAGATACGAAATTAAAAACATAGACTTTATTTAATAGCACAATTCAGTTAAAATATCGAATTCGAACGAATTTCAGTAAATTGTTTTGTTTTTTTTTTAATTTTTAAAACTAAAAAACAAAAAATGTTGTATATTAAATGCTTTATCATTTTCATTATTTTCATGATTAAGTTTTCTTTTTAATCATTAGAAATACCTCGTTAGCGCCCCGAGTAAATTTAATATGTACATATTATATGAGTATTCTTTTACTCCTCAATAAAAAAAAAAATACAAAATAAGATGTGATAATATTCTACGCACTCTAAATTCTTTTATACAATTATTATTGTTTTCTACATAGATACTTTCAGATTAGAGAAAATAATGTTTTCATTGTATACAAATATATACAAATGTATTCGTTGATTGTTTACACTGTCTGTACAAAAACCGCAAAACACCCACTCGATCTGACGTCTTGTTGCCCCAATGAACATTGAACGTCACTCGAAAATCGATACAGGGGACTGTTGTCTCAACTAGAATCAGCAAGGGTGTACGTTATCCCACGGTTCCGTGGTTTTTATTTTATTTTTTTTTTTTTTTGAGATAAAGTTGTACGAAAGTAGTTATAATAATATGCAGATATTATTAATACATAGTTAGCCGACCGCCATCTTGTTGCCGTAATGAAAATATTTTTTTATTTTTCATATGCGATGATCAGTTATAAAAAGT